TTGGCTTGTATGGCTAATAAGAGCTCCTTCAATTCCTAGCTTATGGGATTTTGTAATAGTCCCATCTCTCACCTTTCCCCAAACCCTCCACTGTCAGTGCCTAGGTCTGGACTCCATTATCTCACAAATCTAAACGCCATTCTTGGCCTTTTTATCCTAAGGCTCCATAGAGATGGGTTCATGACTCCTCTTCCCGAGAGTCACCCCACTCCTTACTATGCGAGTCGCTTCCTGAGGGCAGGACATGGACCACATTCCAGGGCCTTGGCACTGGGGCTTCACCCTCTGTGCTGCTAGAAATAAGATCAGACTACCTCTCTGGCCTGCTCTGAAAAACGAGACATAATTATAGCAGACAGGAGGGAGATACATTCCACCCGGATGCAGGGGAGGCCATTATCAGGTCTCCAGTTGGTCTTCACTCCATCAGCCTGAACTGGTGTGACAGCTGTGATGATGGAGAGACCCAGGAGACCTTGGAAGGCTATTTGTGGAGAGACAAAGGCAGAGGCGTGCAAAGGAGAGGTTGGGTTGCTTCTTTGTAATCGAGCATACCTGCGATAGTTACACAGAAAGCTTCTGGGTCAGTACCTTAGGAGCAGAGTACACCCTGAAGAAGAGATCTTCCTAGAATATGGCGACTAGGTCAGAAAGTGTCAGTCTAAATGGACTGCTGGAGAGAAAGAAATTATTGCAAATTTGCAATATTATCTGCAAATTATCTAGTCCAGCCCCCTAATTTTACAAAGGAAAAACTGAAGGTCAGAGAGACCTATCCAAGGTCAGCTGGAAAGTGAATGTCAAGGCTGGGAATAGATACTGGAAGTGCTGAACCTGTGTTCCTTCTCCTATCCCATACTTAGAATCCTTTCAAAGTGGAGATCAGCCATCTGCAAGGGCAACCCTTCTGATGACATGTTTCTGAGGAGATCAGAGTAGCTCCCAGATCTCTAAGCAACTATATGATGTATAATTACATCTTCTGCATACCCCTGCCCTTCAAAAGGACCTGCCCTGTGCAAATGATCGAGGACAGTTATTCTCTTCAGAATCTCTCTCATGAAAAAAAAATTAGAAAGTAGCCCAACCTCTCATGAGTTTGGTCATACCAGGGAGACCTCATGGTGTAGTGGCAAGAATGCTACCTTTAGCATCAGAGCACCTGTGCGCAAATCTTGGCTTGGCTACCTCTGAACTGGGTGACCTTGGACAGCTCCCTTCTCCTTCGTGGCTTCCCCATTTCCTTATTTATAAAATGAAGTTGGGGGGAAGCTAGGTGGCACAGTGGATAGAGCACAGGCCCTGAAGTCAGGAGGACCTGAGTTCAAATCCAGTCTCAGACCAAACACTTAACATGGACTAGCTGTGTGACCTTGGGCAAGTCACTTAACCCACATTGCCTCACTAAAAACAAACAAACAAACAAAAAAACCCAAACAAATAAACAAACAAACAAAAAAATGAAGTTGGATTCAGTGATCTCTGAGGTCTTTCCTAGCCCTAAATCTATGGCCTTATGTTCCCATGTCCATGACATCAAGATGGAAGAGAATCCAAAATGGCTATGGATGGGGTGTCAATGTTGACCACGCTACTGCAATGCTGTTGGAACAGTGGGCCCTCCCTGGCCTCTCAGTAAGAAGAGGAATGAACATGTACCTGAGCTTCTCATAAGAATTTCCACCCATGTGATTAAACCTATTGCTCTAAGCTCCACTACAAAGGGGTGAGATACTCGCACAAACACGGAAAAGGTAGATACTTTTCTACCTTCGTTCAAGTAATTGTTAAGGGACCTTTGTGTGTCAGGTGCTAAGGATACAAAGAAACAAAAAGGAAAATTCTTGCCTCCAATTGGGGGGGAGAATAACATATAAACAGAAAATTTAATAAAAAATACATACAAAATTTTGTGTGTTTTAGAGGGTAGGGGTTGTGGTGTGTAGCTATTAGATACTGGGAAAATCAGGAAAGGGTCCCTGTAGGAGACAACATTTGGACTGAGTTTAAGAGGAAGCAGTGTGGAGGGGGAGGGCTAAGTACAATCAGCTCTGGTTCTGCAGTGGTTAACAGCCTGGTCAGCCTTTTGCTAAAACCTTAATCCTGCTAAAATGGGGATCAGGTGTCTAGTCTTTGCTAGAGGGCTGCAGAGGAGGGTTAGACATAGGTAATGTTTTTCTTCCAGAATTGAGCAGATTTTCCACTTCAGTGTTTTAAGACACAAATCAGAGGTGACAGAGGGAAGGCAAGGGAACCCTGGGCTGGGAGTCAGAAGACCTGGGTTTTAATCTGGGCTTTGGCACTTAGCATATGTGTGGCCTTGGGCAAAGTCCCCCCCACTCCACTCCTAGCTTAAATTTCCTCATCAATGAAAGTGGGATAAAATCATTTGTGCTATACAATTCACATTTTTGTGAAGATTAAGTAGGATTGTGCATTCAACCTCCCCCTCCCCCAAATTAATTGAGTCTGCAGTGTGCAGTCCAAAGCCCTTAGTTCTTAGAGGTGCAATGTTGAAATAGGGCACGGTCTCCTCGTGTAGCCTACCGCCTAGTTGAATGAATGAATGAATGAAGGTTTTGTTAAGTACTTACTTTGTGCACATCACCATGCTAAGGGCTGGGGGATGCATCTAAAAAAGTAAGGCTGCCCTGTCAAGCATCTCACAGTCTAAGGAGGAAGGCTGCAGTTGCAAGTCAAACGGACTTCAGAGCAGGCTGGAAGACTCAGGCCGAGACCTGCTTCTGACGTCCAGTCTGTGGGCCCAAAGCAAGTCACTTAACCTTTGTGCTCTAGGCCAGAGGTGTCACACATGCTGCCCCTCTTCTGAGTACGGCCAGCCCCAAATGTAATTAGAAATATTTACCAAAATAAAGAAAAATATAATAAATCATAGACAATGTTACATCCTCAAACTCAGTCAGTATGTGGCCCGCAGTGATTCCTTCCTATGGTTTAGTGCCCCACTTTCTATTTGACTTTGACATCACTGATCTAGACGTTTTCCAAGAGTTGCTGATCTGCATTGGTGAAAAGAGTTTGCCTCTTGAAATTTTGCCACATCAATGAAATCACAGATTTGGACCCAAAAAGTCATAAAATGGAAGCAAAGCAGTGTGTTATGGGGATCTGAAAAGAATCACAGAACTTGAGAGCTGGAAGGGACTTCAGGGGGTGGTTAGTCTGACTCATCCCCAAAAGGATAGTGCTTCTAGGGAGGCCTGCTGGAGGATTTGGGATGTACAGTGGACTTTGATGGATGGGGTTAGGCAGGGTAGGGAGGACATTCCAAGGACAGGGCATCCCATGAGCAAATCCACAAAAGTGGGAAAGCGTAGGACATATTTGAGGGATGAAGGCTAGATCCTAAAATGTGTCTGTTAGATTGTAAGCTCCTTGAGGACAGGGACTGTATTTTGCCTTTTTTGTATCCCCAGTTAGCACAGTGCCTGACAAATAGTAGGTGCTTAACAAGGGTTTATTGATTGGTTATGCAGAGAGGCATAGTACATAAGGAGCTGTCCTCAGAGCCAGGAAGACATGGGTTTAAGATCTTCCCTCTGACATTTACTGTCTTTGTGTTTTTGTTTGTTTTGTTTTTGTTTTTGTTTTTCATTTGCTGCCTTTGTGATCCTGGCCAAATCACACAACATCTCAGTGCTGTGGGGAGAACTATATGTCATGTCATAACAGAATTAGCTAAAGGAACTCAGAATGTTCAACCTGGAGAAGAGAAGATTCAGAAGAGATATGATAGAGGTCTTCAAATATCTGAAAGTGAAGAATGAATGAATGAACGAGTGAATGAATGAATGAAGGAATGAATGAAAACAAATATTTCTTAAGCACTGCCTGTGTGCCAAACACTATTCTAAGGGCAGGGGATGCAAACACAAAAGCAAAGACAGTCCTTGATCTTAAGGATCTTACACTCAAATGAAGGGAGTTGCCAACACACGGAAGTTTGTGGTGGGTAGGGAGGGCCCCTTTGGTTCAGAAAGGTACAGGAATGGTGAGGGTACCCATGAGATATTGGGTTTATTGACCCACCCCTGCAGGGAGGAATTGGAGTGAAGACCAGGGAACAAGGAGTGAAGTGAAGCAGGCTAATGGACTTTTAGCCAATATCACACAGCTAGATGGTAGCAAATTCTGAATTTGAACTCAGTTCTTTTCTCCCTAGCTTCAGCCCTATTTGCACCATGTTATAGTCAATCAACAACCATTTATTAAGTGATTATTATGTGCCAGGCATTATGCTAAGCACAGGCACATAAAGGGATATAAAGCCTATCAGATTATATTATTATGTTTTCAAATTGTGAGTCATATTTGGTCATTTATTTCATGGGCAGTTGGGATCTATAGCAGGTTTTAGTGGCGGAGAGTGACATAACTCTGCTTTACAAAGATTAACCTTACTGTAGTATTGAGAATGGTTCTGAGGAAGGGAATAGTAGGAGGGGAGATAGGAACACTGATTAAGAGGATATTCTGGTCTCTAGTCTAGACACAAGGAAATGAGCTGGCATGGTGGCCGTAGAAATGAAAAGGAAGGAATTGGTGAAACTTTATCAAGGGGATTTAATGATCATTATAATAAAAATAAAATTTAGAATCTAGTGCAAAGCATACTTCTGATGTCCATCATTGCTACCATTGGCCAGACTGGGCAGTGTTTTCTATTTTCATAGTCTTATTGCATGAAAAAGATGGTGTTCTTAACCCGATCCCCTATATATTCCTTCAACAAACAGAAGGGCCAGGGAAACATATGATCCATAACAATTCCCTCATCTGCTGAATAATGGGAACCCCGTGGATCCAGCTAACATGTACTGAGCACCTACTGGGTGTGTAATGTAATGCCATCTTCCTTTGGAGAAGTTTGGCCGCACACGCACTGTGAATGAGGCGTGTGTAAAAGAGGTTGACATTCCCAGCAGTTACTTGGTAAACATTAGCTCAGCACTGAAATACTTTCTTTTGCTTCACTGCAGTCACCCGGAAGAGCCACTGTGCCAAGGAGTGGTCCGAACGCCACAGCCATGATGGGGAAAGAAGCTGGCAATGCACAGGCACAATTGTGCCTGAGGGCAAACTTCTCCTCCAGGTGAATGCTTCAGGCATGCTTTCTCATTGGAGTCTGTCTAGCACACTTGAAAAGATGTGTCTTCTCTTTAGTTGTTATTGATTGCTTAGGGGTTTTCCTAATAGTAAGTATCATCATCATCTTTCTTCTCTTTTTCTTCTTCTTCTCCTTCTTCTTCTTCTCCTTCTTCTTCTTCTTCTTCTTCTTCTTCTTCTTCTTCTTCTTCTTCT